CTGCGTGCGGAAGTTTACCTTGCTCGCATTGCGGACAAACCTGCGGGCATCAGCAATCATGAACTGTCCTCTGTGCGACTCCCAGGTCTCACGCTGCCTCCTGCATGGCTCTCCCATACTTCTCTGCACCCTGGCCATCACTGCCACATCTAGGCTTCAGCTCGACTTACACGAATGATTTGCAGAGCACCGTCGCCTGCTGTGTTGCGCTCTTGCCCGTCTGCGTGCCCCTCCTACATGTAGCGCCAGCCCCGATGCTCCGTGCGAGCCGCCGGTTCGGCGCCCTTCGTGTGCTCGAGCGACCGGGCAACGGCAGAAATATTCACGCAAAGACAGCACCGCCACGGCTGCCCGCAGCATCGCTCAAGCAGCCAGAGGGAACCGAGACGGCCGCAGGGGTCACCACTATCACTGGCTGCCCGCGAGCTGCAATTATCTGGCTCTGCTTCTGTGGGGTGACAAGCAGACCTCTCAAATTGCATCGCGGCCTCTCCTTTCTTCGTCTTCCCGATCCTCCTCCTCCTCCTCCCTCTCCTCCTCGGACTCCTTTTCCTCATCATGGCCACGACCATCATCGTCGCTAACATCATTCGAACGAGTACAGATCCTACTACGTATCTTCATTATCCGTCTCCCCGTCCTCTTTCTCCCTCCTCTTCGACCTTGCCGTCGTTCCTTATCGAGGACCACCCCAAACGACACGCGGTTGGACGCTTTCGATACCACCGTGCGTGCAAGCAGTATAATGTACGGCGGCGAGGAAACGCTGCGCTCAGACCTTTGGTCAGGCAGCCCAATTCGTCAGGCATGGATGCCGACCCAGCGAGTTGTTAGTTTCTATCGTCTGCGGGGAGTCGTGGCCGCAGGTACGAAGGCAGGAGCAGATGATAAAGGGGATCATGTAGCGTTCTGCACGCGATGCAGCCAAACCCGAAAGCGCGTTCCACAGAGCCTGGGGTTGCTCTGGGAATCGGGACCAAAGTATTCTCGGATTCGGATGCCTTGATGAGTGCGGCGCGCCCAGAGTCAGAAGCAGAAACCTGCTCTGGGTTGCGGGGCCTGCTACCAGCCCGGTGGACACATGTTCCTGCCCTAGCCGTGTCACAAGGTTGCACAGTCACGGTGGCAGTACCTGCGCTGGCAGGGTGTTTGGCACGGGGATCCTCGCAGAAACCAGTTCATGCTCTCGGAGAGGCCATTGTAGGAAAACATGATGTTGTTGCAGCTGGGCCGTGAAGGGCTCTGAATAGATCGCGGGGAAGTCAGCGAGAGCACGCTTCCTGAGCAATCGCGAGGAAGTCTCGGACGGGAGCGGGGGGTCTGAATAAATCGCGAGGAAATCTCAGGCCGGAGCCTTCGTTGTTGTAGCTCGGGGGCCCAAGGCTCCCATTTGGGAACGAAGCCCACGCTCCAGCGTGCGCCGCCTTTTGAAAGACCATGCAGTCCACGCTCGAGCGAGAGCGCTCCGCTAATCTGTTGGAAAAAACACGCAAAAAAACACACCACAAAACACACTGTGGGAAAAAAACACTGGGGGAAAAAAACACTGTGTTTTTTCCCCACACACTCACTGTGTTTTTGTCTCACAGAATCTGTGTTTTTGTATTTTTTCCCACTGTCAATCAAGCATACTCATTCTCTAAAACCGAACACTCAAAAAACTCGAGCGCGGTCTGTTCAAGTCGTCAGAGGTCTGGACCTCTGGAAATCTCAGGAGGTCTCCGGCCCCTTGAAGTCCACAGATTCACCGAAGATCCCCAGCCCTCAGGAGGCCCAACTGAATCAAAGAAGCGCACAACAGAAACTTCGAGCCTCGGTCCCCCTCCCGTCCCCGATGAGCTCTCCCTCCAACTCCTACATCTCCTACACCCCATCCTCTTCTTCATAATTCGTATGATTTGGATAAGAAGTACTATTAGTAACCTGCTTACTTCCATACAACTCACGAGCAAGATCCTTGCTCGTAGTCCTAGGTTGTCTGCAACAAATATGAATCATACAAGTTCGCATTGACCGTAGTAGTGGCACCATTCCGAGTGGGTTTGATACTGTGGCTGCAAGTGCCAGTGATATTAAAATTGCTTGCAGTCTTGTCATGGAATGGCATTCGGCCCATCCCGCCACCGCGCCTTGGTTGCGGGTCAGAACTTTCAGGGATGCTTCTTCGGGTCTCTTCGGAGCGCTCTCGGGGCTTCTTGGGAGCAGCTTGAGGGCCTCTTGGGAGCCTCTTGGGGGCCTTTGGGGAGCCTCTTGAGGCCTCTTGGGGACCTCTTGGGGTCTCTTGGGGGCCTCTCGGGAGCCTCTTGGGGCCTCCTGGATGCCCCTCGGGCCCGAGGGCTCGAAGTGTCACTGCAGGTTCCCCCAATCTTTGGGCCGCATTGGGCGCCTCTGGGGCGCCTCTTGGGCCATCCTGGGCAGTTTTGGGGCCCTCTGGGGCCGTTTTGGTGCGATCATGGGGGCCTCGTGGGCCGTTCTGGAGCTTCGGGAGGCTGAAAAGGCGAGAACGCCCAAATCAATCAAAACTTACGGGAATCAATGATTTTGGCCTCTTGGGGCCCCTTGGGGAGGCCTCTTGGAGGCCTCTTGGGGCGTCTTGGAGACCTCTTGGGCCATATGGGCGCCATCTTAAACGTCTTGGAGCGATCGTTAGGCGACTCGGGGCGCCATCTCGTTGTGATTGCCCGCGGGAATCATATGCTGACGCCCCGTACGCGTGCCCACGTACGTGTTTCGCGCTGCCATGGGATCCAGACCGTCGAGGGCATGGACTTTGGCACCCTCATCCTCCAGCACTGGCGCCGGATAGGAGATCAGGTCGCCTTCGCCCACAACTCCATGGATGGTGGGTGCGCGGCATGCTGCCACAGCACCCGTACCCACGCCACTCAACCGGCTCGGCTGGTCCGGTGTCGTCCAAGTGGTTTTGTAGCCGTGACGCTGCGCGGTGGGCGACTGTCGGTCTAATTACCAAGCTCCTGCCTGTGAGCACCAGCAGGCCATCCTCATCATCGCTGAGCTTGGCTTCGCTGTGGTTGTACACGCCGTGGTGTTCCATGCAGCTCTGCGCATCCTCGTGCCGCCCGAGGACTGGGTAGTGGCGGTTGTCGCACTGCTTCCAAAGGTCGTCTGCTACCAATGGGTTTCGGCGCTGTCCTGCCACCGAGGAGGCACGGCTGGAGCCGTGGGAGCGTACAGGCTTTGCTGCGGAGTTGCAAGCATCTCAGAGGAGTGGTGGTGGCAGAAGACGCAATCAAATTTCTGGCCACGGCCTCGATCCCAATGCCGGTACGGAGTGCGCTTGCCACTTCTCCTCGCTGCTTGTCCACATGCCTCTGTTGCAGTGGTTCTCGGATCGGCGCGCCCCGTTATCGGCAGCTGCGGGGGCGGCGGTGCCGACGAAGCGATGGAAAACTGTTTGTGTTTGTTCTTGGTTACTGCTGCGTGTTCGCCGTCGCCGCTGCTGGGCGTTGTGGTCTGTGCACCAGCGTGAGGCTCTGCCGTGTATTCGTCGGCGCCACCACAGCCGTCGTAGTCGGAAGACCTGGCAAAAATGGGAATGCTGAGGCCAAAAGTTCGTTGACCTACTCAAGAATTGAATCCCTTGGTGGTGTCGTAATGGGCTTGGTGGTGGCTGTTGTTGTCGGCGCATTCGTTGTGGGTGCGTAAGAAGTTCAGCTCGCAGCAAGGCTGCCACTGCTACCGCAAGAGGCTGCAACATGCACATCTATATGCATGCCGCTGCTGGCCCCGGACACATTTCCATGTCCACCGCCACCTCCAGACGACACTAGGGCCAGGGCGACAGCTTTTTCTATTTCCACCCCCGTTCGGCATCAACTTCTGTACGGGCGTAGAAACCACGCACCCGTGGATGCTGTTTTGGACCAGCACCGTGTCTTCGCTGTACGCGATGATGACAGATTGGCTCATATACTGAACCGTGCTGCCCACACGTGACCTTGCGAGGCTCCTGGCAGGGCTGCAAGGGCCGGCGGCGCCCACAAGGGCTGTGCGGCTACCTGCTGCTGCTGCTGCTGCTGCTGCTGCTGCTGCTGCTGCTGTTGCTGCTGCTGCTGTCGCTGCTGCGGCTGGGGCTGCAGCTGCAGCGCGGGCGTAAGCCTCTTTTGCAACGCCTGCACTGCGGTTTTGTCCTGCGCCAGCGGGCCGCGGGGTACATTGTCATGCTCCTGTCCACGAAAACACCAACAACGCCATCATGATCACCATGTTCCTCCTCCTCCTCCTTCTCCTCCTCTTCCTCCTCCATCTGGAAAGCTCTCGGCGTTGGCGCAGTCTGCGGGGAACTGTCTGTGCGAGCGGTTGTGAGGGCTGCCACTGCCTTCTGGGAGCTGCGGGCAGAGGTCTGGACTGCGGCTGTCTTCTCAGAGTTGCGGCTGCGGGCGGAGGTCTGGGCTGCGCCAGCAGTCTTCTTGGCTGCGACCGAGAGCACCGACCGCTCGCTCGTGATAATCGTCGTCGTAGTCCGTCGCCGTCTGGCTCCTCGTTCCTGACGCCCCTCCTCCTCCTCCTCCTCCTCCGACGCCCTGTTCCTCCCTGATCGTGTACTCCAGATTTCGTAATAAAGGGAGGGGAGTCTCATTTCGGGGGGGGGCTTTTTCCAGGCTATCTTGGAGGGCCTGGGGTGGTCTGGGGACGATGTTTCGGAGGGTTCTCCCACGAGGGGGGGTCTGAAATGGCTCGTCTTGGAGGGTCCAGACCCCCTCCCTTTTATTGCAAAATCTGGAGTAATGCTCCTCCGTGCCCAGGGTGAAGGGTTCTCCTCGTCCTCCTGCTTCTCCTCGAGGCTGTGCAGGTAGTCCTCCTCTGCCGTTTTGGCGAAGAACACCTTCCGCGGCTGCTTGCAGTCCTCGGCCACGCGGCCGGGCTGGCCACAGTTGTAGCAGGAGGTTGTCTGGGCTGCCGCACTCGGCCGCCATGTGGCCTGGTTCGCCACACCTGTAGCACTCCACGAAATTCGGGGCGCCCCGCTTGGTCCGATCCCGAGAGCCGAGGGAGCGACCCTCGAAGAATGCCTCGACGTTCGTGTCAGGCACGTGGTCCACGCTGACGAACGCCTGGCCCCCGAAGAAAACCCGCCTCGGCGCTCCGCCAGCGTTGCGGGGAAGGCCGCGCATGGTGCAGCGCTTGGCACCGAGGTGGCGCTGTCAGCTCTTGTGCTTCGGCGCGAAACGGCCCGCCGCCGCACGGCGCCGTCGCTCGGCCGTCCGCGCCGCCCACCAAACCTGCGTGACGTAGAGGGGGTCCTCCGCAGACGCGCGCTGCTCAACCTCCAGGCGGTCGGCCGGCCAGGGGTCCTCGGCGGCCTCACGCTCCCACCACTCTGCGTCGGTGGACCAGTGCGCGTCGCTGTCGGCGTCGTCGCATGCTGCCTGTCCGAAGTCGAAGAACACGTCCTGGGCAGCAGCGCTGCTGTGACCGTTTCCGATCGCAGCGCGCTGGGCGCGGCGGGGCGCTGAACCGTCGGCGCTGCCGGCCGCTATGGTCACGCACAACGGCAGCGGGTCCTCGTCGGCGCCCGTGAAGCACACGCCTGGCGCCCCCGCGCTGCCTGGCCTGAGGGGCGAGACGTTCTCCTCGATCGCCCTGTCTCGAAGCAGCCTCGCCTTGACCAGCTGGCACTCCTGCTCCGCCCTGGGGGCAAGCGGCCGCGCTCGCGCAGGATCTCTGCCCATTTGCGCGCTGGCAAGCGCATGAGCGAAAGGAGCATCCAAGACCAGAAGGGGACCGAGACCCCCGCTCCGCGCGCTGGTTTGCCCTGTCGAGCAGGAGGTCAAACCGCGGGAACATGCCCATCATGTCCTCGTCGCGGCTGGGAGTGAACTTGAGAAAGTCCAGCCCTGCGCGGAGCATCTGCGCCTCTGGATCAGGAGGGAACTTGGCCAGCAGCACTGCCAAGAGGACGTCGACCCCCGCCCTCGCCGCGGTGCCCCAGCCGTCACCAAGGTCCACCACGGCGCCGTGCTGCAGGATCTCCACCGCGACCTCGCCGGCGATGGTCCGCGCCGTCGTGCCGAGGGCGAGGCTGAGCATCGGCCCCCGGCGATCGACGCTCAGCTTGGCGGCCGTCGCCCACCTCCGGACGTCCCGCGCCCATTCCGCGATTGTGTACGGGTACGCCGCGTCGTGCTCCAATTCCTGGCTCCACCATGACGGTGTCTCGGTAGACGTCACGGCCGTGTCCTCCCTGCAGCGGCGGGGAGCTGCGCCGAAGATGCGCGGCTGGCGCCGCGCAGGCGCGCCGCTGCTGCCGCTGCTGCATACCGCCATGGCCGGCGCTGCAAGCCGTCGGTCAGATTGCCGGGCGGGGGCGCTGGGCTTCGGCTGCACCTGGGCAGAGGCGTCAACGTGCGACTCGGCGGGGGCTCCGACTCCACCTCTGGCTCGTCGTCCGGCTTCTCGTCCTTCTCGTCTGGTGACCAATCCAGCTCCTCCCCGGTCGGCTGCTCCTCCACCTCGGTCTTGGAAACCACGAGGGAATCGCCGCGAAGTCGAACTGACTGGCGGCAGGCCTCGCTGACAGGCTCCCACGGTGGACACCAGCAGGTGCGAGTCGCCCTCTCGTGTTCCACCTCCAGCCACTGGGCTGTTCGACGAACCTCGCTTTCCAACGAGTGCGTGTGCGTCCGGCGCTTTTTGCCTGCTCCCGCACGCCCGCAAGGGGTAGTCGTAGTCGAAGTGGTACTCGTAGGCGTGTGGCCGCAGAGCGCGGTTTCCGATGCGCCGCTACCAGAGTTGAAGCGCCAGCCGACGCCCCTGGAAAATATTCAGGAAGAAGGGGAAGAGCAATAATAATATCAAGAATGGATGTTGTAAGTAAAATGTGAGAGAAAATGGTTTTGCAGTATGTTTTTCCACACTCCTCTGGCGAAGAGCGGCTCGCTTCGAAGCTGAATAACGACGGGGGCGCGCGCGGAGGGGGGAGGCCAAGCACTGAAGGGATTGGGGTGTAAAACTCCCGACCCACTTAATCACCATCGTGAGCATCATCATCATCATCATCATCATCATCATCATCATCATCATCATCATCATCATCATCATCATCATCATCATCATCATCATCATCATCATCATCATCATCATCATCATCTTCATCATCTTCTTCATCTTCATCTTCATCATCAGCATCATCATCAGCATCACGATCGTCATCATCATCAGCATCAACAGCATCATCAGCAGCATCAGCGCCATCATCATCATCAGCAGCGGCATCATCATCTGCATCATCATCAGCAACATCGTCATCACCAATGATCTCGCCATCCCCGGCGTCATCCTCCTGCCCATCGGCAGGGGGACCCCCCCCCTACCCCGCCCCATTCTCCGCCTGTCCGCGTGGCCGGGCTTCATCCCGACGCTGCGCGCCAAGTCCGTCAGCGCCTCGTTCGGCGGGAGTCCCGCTCCGTCCTCCGTCTCCTCCTCCACCTAACTCCGCTTCCTCCTCCTCCTCCTCCTCCTCGTCCTCTTCCTCTTTCTCCTCCTGCTCCTCCTCCTCCTCCTCCACCTCCTCCTCCACCTAACTCCACTTCCTCCGCCTCCTCCTCCTCCTCCTCCTCCTCCACCTCCCCCTCGTCCTCCTCCTGCTCCTCCTCCTCCTCGTCCTCCTCATCCTCCTCGTCCTCCTCCTCCTCCTCCCTCCCTCCTGCTCTCCTCCTCTCCTCCTCCTCCTCCTCCTCCTCCTCCTCCTCCTCCTCCTCCTCCTCTACGACGCGCTGCAGTGAGTTGCTCTGAGCGAACGCTATCAAGCACAACCGCCACCTCTTATCCTGGATCTGGACATGGCCATGCACATGTCGCCACGCATCCTCAGAGACAGCGGCTACCAGGCTGTGAAAACCCCAGACGAGCATGATTCGTGACTGGGAAGAGAAGTTGAGGGGCCTGCTTTCCACCACCACCACCACCACCACCACCACCACCATAAAATGGAGGGGAAGGGTTTTTGAACATCAACGCCAACGCCTCCAAATCCTTGGACTGACCAAGGCAGCGACACAGCAGCGGAGGGGGATGCTGGCTCCCCGAATGGCAACCCATTCGGTCTGAGTCATCGGCATCAAACTCGCAGGTGCGTGAGACCAGGAGAGAAGCTTCATCCCCATGCCGCTCGAGCTCGGAACGGACCTGGCACAGCGTCTCTCTTTGCGAGAGGGCAGGCGCAGAGGACCGAGGAGCAGGAGCAACCGAGCTGCGAGAGCCGAGAGCGAAAACTTCGCTAGCGAGCGCGCTGCCCACCTCGACTATACCCGACGAGGGCGCAGGAGTGGTGACCATCTCGCCCAGCTGCGACGGGCAAAGCGCACCGCCGAGCGCACTGCCTTCCACCCCCGCACCCGCGACAGGAACGGGAGGGGAAGGCACCTCGCTCAGCTGCGGGGGGGGGGCCTGGGCGAAGCACCAGGCGCGAGGACAGCGGCAGCGACAGAGCAGGCCGCGCGCCCAGGCTCCACCTGCGCGGCAGAGGCAGGGCCAGAGGCCGCGCCACAGAGAAAGCCCGACGCCTCGTCCTCGGCTCCACGGTTTCGCTCCCCGGGTCCAGCCTGAACAAGCTGAGGCGCAAGGGACCCCCAAATCCCACCCCCCTCCCATTCCCGCCCCGGCTCCACCCCCCGCTCCACGCCAGAAAGGGGAAGGAGGTCGAGGAGGGGCCACAGGACCAGGCAGATCCTGGGCGGCCCGAAGCCCCAGCTCGCCAGCATCGAACGCAGTCCCGTTGAAACACTCGACGAAAGAGTCTAGGGCAACCGAGACGCCATGCTTACTGTTTTTCTTTCTTTCTTTCGGGCGATTTCACAGCCCCTGGTGACTCTGATCTACTTTGGCTTCCACTCACCTACGGTGCACTAACTACCGCCCGTTTTGCCTCTGGCAACGTCGCTTGCCCATGCTTACGACGAGAGTAACGAGGGTGCCTGCCACGGCACAGCTGCGCCCTATCCAGGCCTGCCAGCACGAGCCGGAGGAACGCATCTATCAGCCAAGGCCCTAACTCTCGCCATCGCTCGGACGTCCATTCCCTGTGTCGTTGTCGGTTTCATGCGTGTTTTTTTGCCAAGTGATCAAGGATGCTCCTCGATTGTCCTCGCCGAAGGAAAGATGCACACGTCCGAGCGATGCCAAGAACTTGGCCCCCAGTCGAATGGCACTTGCACCTCGTACAAATAATGAGCACAGAATGGCCCGAGCAGTCAGAAGCCAACGTCTCATGACCCAAACGATCTCGATGAGACGCGTGCAACTTGCTGTCGCGAGGGCGCCGTCCACTGGCAGGGGGAAGCCGTGATCGGCTACCTTTGAGGCAAAACGCACACCTCCAAATCCCAGCCCAGCGCCCCCAGCGATGACCCGCAGAGGCACCGACAAAAGAGGGCGGAGGCTTGACTCGCTCAACCGAAGAAAGATCGAGCGAGGGCCAAAGATGGAGGATAGCACTGGCAAATTTCAAGGTGGTCTTAGCAAAACGAACCAGTTCGTCAGCATCCTTGACCAGACCAGCATTGGAGGGATGAATGTGCAGAGCCTGCTTGGCTCCTACATCGGCGAAATTGTTTCCAATGCGACGCCATCGCTAGTCGGTATCAACAGAAGGATCATCGATGTCCTGGCGGGCAGCAACCTTGGTGCAATCCGAAACCGAGGAGAACTGACCATGGCACTGCAAGAAGGCTCCCGAAAACATCTTTTTGCCAGATAAGTGCTCAGGCTTCGAACGACCAGCGAGCCTAACAACATTCAAGCTGATCGTGATCTGGAGCCTCTGGAGCCTCTGGAGCCCTTGGAGCCTCTGGAGCATCTGGAGCATCTGGAGCCTGTGGAGCCTCTGGAGCCTCTGGAGCTGTTTAGCCTCTGGAGCCCCTGGAGCTTAATTAGGGCCAGCTGTAATTGGCAATCTAATGGATTAGTGGCCAAAACGTTAGCGCACGCGCAAGCGCCAACCTCCGCACTCTGGGGGGGTCTGCGGGCGAGAGCCCCAGACGGGAGCTCTGCATACGGCCACGAGGGCCCCTTTTCAAAATCGACCATGCAAACAGAGCTCGCAGCACGAGAAAGCCCCCCAACGGGGTGCCGAGCACAAGACCCATCGACGAAGAGCGAACCCCAAACGCGATTAGTGATGGGCCCTCCATCGGGGGCCGATTCAGGATGGACGTGCCAAGTGAGGAACCTTCGGTGGAGCTTCCTATGGGGCCACGAAACGCTGTACTGGGTGTGCGGGACGCATGCGGACGGTAGCACTGGGACCTTCGGTGGAGCTCCCTATGGGGCCCACGAAACGCTGTACTGGGTGGGTGAAACGCAGGGAGGCGGGGGAGGAGGGCCACGAAACGCTGTACTGGATGTGCGGGACGCATGCGGACGGTAGCACTGGGACCTTCGGTGGAGCTCCCTATGGGGCCCACGAAACGCTGTACTGGGTGTGCGGGACGCATGCGGACGGTAGCACTGGGACCTTCGGTGGGGCTCCCTATGGGGCCACGAAGCGCTGTACTGGGTGGGGAGGGGAAGAGGAGGGGGACGAGGAGGAAGATGAGGAGAACGCGGGGACCGTCTCTTCAAAACGAGGACCCAACACCACAGAATGGTTGGGAACAAAACATAGCAAAAGCAGATCAATTGATCAATTCTTGAAGTAGGAGGGCTCTTGTGGTACGTAGATTGGGACCTGGGCATCCAAGAATACCTCCTTGCAACGACCGGCGTGCAAGGACAGCGGGGAGGGGGAGGGGGACGACGAGGGGGACCTAGGAGTGGGCAGGAGAGCGACAGGGACGAGGACGGCGAGGAGACCGACAAGAAGAAGTACGAGGACGGCGGGCGACAGCAAGGACGATGAGGGAGAAGCGGGAGCAAGGGGGACGACAAGCTCAGAAAGAAGACGGAGGGCGAAGACGACGAAGGAGAGAAGACGCAGGATAAATATGATGACAGGGATAACGGGAACACGCGATTTCAAAAAATGGGAACGACATGCTTCTTTTTTTTTCAAAAAAAATAATTTTAAAAAATCGCGGGGGAGGCGGGTAGGACACGAATAGACCACGCGCTCGCAGACGACGCTCGAAGGCGCCTGGCGCGCGCGCGCGCCGCAACCCGAGGGCGCCCGGGGCGCGCGCGCGCGGCCGCGCGAGGGGCAGGGGTAGGAGGAAGAGGACGAGGGCGAGGACGGCAGCGGCCTGGGCCATACTCTCATACGAGTTTGGGCGAAAGCACGCCGATGGCTGTCGGCAGACTGGCAACGACTGCATAACTGCGACGAGATGTGGGGTATTCGAGGCAGCCACACCTCCACGGCCTCGGCTTTTGCTCACAATCTGGAGCAAGAGGTGGGAAGCCTCATAGGCGACCACACTTGTACAATCCTCGTTGACCTAGTGAAATGCTTTGACATGGTGAGTGCCCACGCACTCATGCGGGAGGCATGGGAGCTGGGTTACCCGATGCGCCTGCTCTGGATGTTGCTGCAGTTCTACCAGCAGACACGGTACATCAAGGAGCACGGCAGCCTCTCGAGCTCCTTCGTCGCCTTTCAAGGGGTGCTGGCGGGGTGCACACATGCCACCTACCTCATCTACCTGCTGACGTACCGTGTCCTCCAGCGAGCCAGCAGGGTTGCGCCGACCATCGAGCCACGTTCGCTGGTGGACGACATCGGCCTGCAGATGGTCTCCCCCGACATCGGCGATGTCAAGCTGCTGCTGAGCACTGCGCTGGTGCTCACTGCAGAGGCCAGGGACCTCAGGCTTATTCTCCGACCTGCTAAGTCCGCGGTGGTGGCTGAGTAAGCGCAGGTCCGCCCTGTGGTGCATGGGGTCCAGCGGCGGATGCCTCGGGCGGTGCCCCAAGCCCGAGACATGCGCAACCTTGGCCACGAGCTGCATGGCCCTCGAGTGCTGAAGAAGGTTGAGAAGTAGCGCCTGAAAGCCGTGCGGGAGCGCACGCACCGACTCCTCATGCTGCGACGAGCGGTAGGGCGCAGGGCCTCCACGCTGTGGCGGACTGGGCCCATGCCGCCCGCAGGGCACGGCGCTGGAGCGTCGGGGTTGGCGGACGCGCCCTTGCGCGAGATGCGCAACTTGGCCGCGGTACTAGACGGGCGCAGCGACAAACGCCACGTGGGCGTCGGGGCATACCTCCTGACTCACCCTTCGGAGGAGTACGACCCTATCTATCATGCCGCGCTGGACTTTGTCTTGAACTACGCCGCCTGGATTTGGAACGGGCGCGCGTCACCTAGCCGCCTGCAAAGGGCTTGGACAGCGCTCCACGGGCGGGGCGCCCCTATCAGTTGGGCCAATGCCAAGGGCCCCCCGGCCGCGACTTGGTTGACGCTCAGGCGGCTAGCCCGGAACATGAAGGCGCCGCGCGTCTTGCAGGACGACCTGGGTAGCCAGTGTGACCTGCGCCGCGTTTGCCCTGCTGACCTACGACCGTTCTTGGTGCAAGGCGTGCAGCGCTGGCAGCATGACCGCCTCACCAGCCACATGTACTCCCACGCTGGTGCGCCCGTCTGGCACCGTGGGCTCAGGCATGCGGTCAAGGGTGTCAGCGCCGCAAGGCAGCTGGGATCCTTGCAGGCGCTATGGTCTGACAACATACCCATGCCGATTTGCACGGACATGAAGCTCGGCAGGCCCGCGCGCCCTTGGCAGGCTTGCGGGGAGGCCCTTGCGCCCGACGAGCGCCGGGGCCATGTCTTCTTGGAATGCCCCGCGCTGCTGACCCACCCGCCCGCAGGGGAGACGCGACGCATGGAGCAGGAGCCGACGGACCATGTCCCAGGCCTGCGACAAGCGCAGAACACGCGTGGTTTCGGCGACCTACGCCAGCAAGATCACGACCACCTCGAGAGGCGGGCCGATCCGACCCTGCCGTCCCAGACCGGCGCCCAGCAGCCCAGCACCATGGAGGCCGAGGACGATTTCTTTCCAGGCATCGGGCAAGGGGGCGATGAAGAGGTCGACTTTGTGCCACCCGATCGGTACGACGGCCATCAGGAGAAGGCGCGGCTGGACGCGCAGAGTGCCCCCTGTGCGCCACCGGTTGCTTCGGAACAGAGTGGCCCGCTGCCCCCTGTGGCGGCGGCTCCAGCCTCGGCGCCCGATGCACCATGCGGGCGCGGCGGGCCCGAGACAGCGACGCCAACGCTGAATGGCCGCGGCATCTTCCACCCCCCCTAAGTGCTGGCTGAGGTGCGCGACGAACTTATCCAAGCGGGTCTTGGATCATGCACGCCGAACTTCGAGCAGTCCTACCTCGTTTTTGGCCTACCCGACCCCCCGCTTATCTGCTACGCGCAGATACGCGGAGGCATGTTGTCTGCCTGTGGGGCGATGCCCATGGCGTGTGGGGGCCCGTTTCTTACACCGACGGGTCTGGTTGCGCCTCAGGTTCCCCCGAGGTGCGGAGATGTGGACAAGCTGTTGTGCAGCTTGATCCTTACTCTTGGCTCCCAGTTAGGGCGCGGTTCGGGCCCCTTCTCCACTCGGTGCAAACTGTCGGCCGCGCTGAGAGGCACGCGATCAGGGAGGGGCCCGACGCTTTCCCTGACCACCAGTGCTTCGTTACTGACCTGCTGGCGCTCGCCCAGGAAGGAGAGCGCTGGTGCCCCGAGCTCGAGCAGGGTCATGCCAAGCATGCTCGAGCGTGGCGGGATATCTTCGTGGCCAGCCGCAGGCGCACTCTGCGGGGCCCTCCCAAGTTCCGATGGATGCCAGCGCACAGGTCCTTGGAGGAGCTCATGGGCACAGAGCCGCAGGGGCTGCGTGACCGGCTAGGACACGGCTGGGCAGACTACTTCGCGCGCCGTGGCGCGGCCCCTCACGCACTGGCTGGGTCGGTAGCTGAGGCGGCAACAGCTGCGCTGAATCAGCACCGCAAGGTCCTGCAGTTCATTTCGTGGGCGGCACTGCAGATGGTGGCTCGCAAACAATGGGGATGCGACGTAGAGGTCCCCAGGCCACCTTGCGAGCAGGCCAGGCCCATCGTGGCGGCACGCAGCATGGACCATGTCCTCGCTTACTGCGCCAGCCTCGGGCGGTACCGATGCACCCAATGCGGAGTCACGGCCACAACGGGCTCCCCCCTCGAGTCGCTGCAAACTGGCTCTCATCGTGCACGTCGCCCTTCGCGTGCTGCCAGAACTCTCAACGCCGAGTACTTCCGCGCCCTCGGCGACGGCTGGGTTCTCTGCAGCGACCAGAGGGCTGGCATGGCCCTGGGCGCGGCCTTGGCGCTCGAGGAGAGCTCACAGCCCTCGGCCCCCGCAGCCTTGTTGCCACCTGCCCTGGCAGAGGAGGTTGGGGGCGCCCTCGCTGCGCTTAGGCGCGACGTGTTCAGGGGCAACAATGTTTACTGTTGCAAGCGCTGCGGGTCTCACTGTGCGGCGGGGGATGTCCGCACAGTGCGGAAGCTTGGCTTGAGGTGCGATGGGCTCTCGCCCAACGAGTCCACGAGCCGCAACCAGCAAGATGCGAGCAGGCGTGTCGAGAGGGGCCTGGCGCCTCGTGCCCGACGTACCCCTGCAGCGCCGCCCCCGCAGGGGGCTCCTCTTGCAGCCACGCGGCGCGTTGATCGATCATGTCGTGATTCGCTGCCGTGCCGTGGTCGGCTGGTGGCACGGCGTCTTCTTCTGTGGCGACGCCTCATTCGTCGGCGGCACGTTGGCCTGCGCCGACGCGCCCCTGACCCTCTTCCTCTGCGAGTGGGTCTTCCTCCACACTTTCTTCAACCTTGCCCTCTCCGCCATCGTGGCGTGAGGGCGCCTCGGCGTAGTCCGTCGGGCGCGTGCCAGCGCGGCCGGCGGGAGACGCTCGAGAGGCGCTGCGCTCCACCGACGAAGGGCGACGACGACGACCACGACGACGACGACGACGACGACGACGACGACGACGACGACGACGACGACGACGACGACAGCGACGACGACGACGACGACGGCGGCGGCGGCGGCGGCGGCGACGAGGACTCGCGCCCCAGCCAGAACGCGCCTGGCCGTCCAGAGACTGGAGGAAGTCGGTGTCGTCCCACCCCTCCGCCTCGAACCTCGGGAGAGAAAGAGGGCAGAGGGAGTTCCTCTTCCTCCTCCTTCTCCTCCTCCTCCTCCTCCTCTTCCTCCTCCTCCTCCTCCTCCTCCTCCTCCTCCTCCTCCTCATCCTCCCCCTCCTCTTCCTCCTCCTTCTCCTCAACCTTCTCTTCCCCGCCGTTTCCTCCTCCTCCTCCTCCTCCTCCTCCTCCTCCTCCACCTCCTCCTCCTCCTCCTCCTCCTCCTCCTCCTCTCCCCTCCTCGTCCTTCCCTCCTCCTTCCCCTCCTCCTCCCCTCCTACTTGTCTCATCCTCCTCCTCCCCTGTCTTCCCGCTGGGGGGCCCGGAAGGAGGGCCCCAGTGAGACAAGAGCCCTGGCTCCAATCCAAAACTCTCGCGGGCAGACAGGGATCGTGCCCCCCCCAGCAAGCACGCAAGGGCGTTCGAATGATTTCGGCATGCGCGCGCGATAGGCGTGTGAAAATGCTGAAAGGCGCATGGTGTTCTGAAGAAGTTCCCCCAAAGCGCGCATGTTTGACAAGTCATGTTAAAAACAACATTGGGTATTGAAATGCGTTCGGAAGCCTCGATCTTGAAATATTTAGGATACCCAGTGCTTTTACAGGATATCGGAATGCGCGCGCGACGCCGCGCGCGCGCGTGGAATGTGTCCAATCTGTTGCAAGGGACTCGTGCCCCCAGCAAGCACGTAAGGGCGTTCGAACGAGTTCGACATGCTCGCGCGAAAGGCCCGATTTGTCGCATTTGTTGAACATGTAGAAAGGCGCATGGTTTCTCGAGAAATCGCAAGAGTGCACGCAGTTTCTTAAATGAAAGCTGGTGCGAAACCATTGTTATGTGTTGCGTTGAATACATCTACATACAAATATGTGTATGTAAATTGATGTGTGTATACATATGCATATATACATATATAGAATTACAAGAATATATATGGTCACCCCCTGTAATCTTACCTTTTTCTGCTTCTGCGGTGTCTCCTCGTTGTCCTATCTCTCCTGTCTCTCCCCCTCTCCTCCTCCTCCTCCTCCTCCTCCTCCTCCGCCTCCTCCTCGTCCTCCTGCTCCTCCTTCTCCTCCTCCTCCTCCTCCTGCTCATTCTGCTCCTCTTACTCCTCCTCCTCCTCCTCCTCCTCCTCCTCCTCCTCCTCCTCCTCCTCCTCCTCCTCCTCCTCCTCCTCCTCCTCCTCCTCTTCCTCCTCCTGTCTGCAGCAATCCAGAAGGACTCCTAGTGAAACCCTCCACAGGAGGATCCCGATCGAAATCCTCCACAGAGGCATTCCTATTGAAATCCTCCGAGGAAGGATTCGTAATGACACCGTCCACAAAAGATTCTGATTGAAATCCACCGAGCGGAAGGATTCCCCCATTGGCATTGGATTGGGCATTGCTTTGGCATTGCGCTAGCGCGTCCTTGTGCCTCCATTCGCACAGCGGTTCCTATTAAAATCCTCCAGGAGTAGGTTTCCTTTTGAAGTCTACCACAGAGGCCCCCCCCATTGGAATTGCATTGGCACTGGATTGAGATCGCTTTGGCATTGGTTGGGCATTGCGATGAAACTGCTTCGGCATTGCGTTGGCATTGCGTTGGCATTGCGCTGGCGAGTCCGATGTCTCCCTCCGCAGAAGGACTCCGACTGAACCCCCCACAAGAAGGATTCCTAGTGAAACCCTCCACAGATCCCGATCGACACCCTCCACAGAGGCATTCCAATTGAAATCCTCCGAAGAAGGATTCGTAATGACACCGTCCACAAAGGATTCTGATTGAAGTCCACCGAGCGAAAGGATTCCCCCATTCACATTGCATTGGCATTGGTCGGCAATGGATTGGTATCGCATCGGCATGCATTGGCCTGGTGCAGAAGGTAGACAGAGGGAGACAAAGAGAGAGAGAGGGAGAGAACACGAGATAACGATATAACGAGAGAAGCATATTATGAGGGGATCACGGCGAGCAGAAAAATGGCAAACAGCATCAAAGTTTGCAAAGATGAAGGAGCGTCACACTCGATAAAAACCGAATCAAAACGACGAGGGGCTCCACAATCCCCCGGCCTCGAAAGAAAAGAGAGGTCCCAAGCAGCACGACGACGACGACAGTTTCCTCCCTGAAGAGGCCCCAAACAGCACGTCGTCGTCCTCATCCCACTCCTCCCTCCTTCTCCTCCTCATTCTTTCCTTCCTCCTCCTCCTCCTCCTCCTCCTCCTCCTCCTCCTTCTCCTCCTTCCTGGGGGCCCCAGGGCCCAGGAGGGGAGGCCCGAAATGGCGAAGAACCTCAGGACCCCCTTCCCCTCAGGACCCATCCTCTTCGTGGCCGGTCCTCGAGGGGTCCTCGATCGATCGGGGGCGGCCCTCGACCCTCGATCGATCCTCGTCGTCGGGCCTCCGGCAGTCCTCGATCCTCGCACACTCGATCCTCGCTCCTCGACCACTTGAGCCTCGCACTCGATCCTCGATCCTCGCACTCGATCCTCGACCCTCGCACTCGATCCTCGACCCTCGACCCGTTGATCCTGGTCCTCGGCCAACCTCGGGAGCGGCCAAGAGGGGGGTGTCCAAGAGGGGGGGTGCCCAGCGGGGGGGCCTGGGACGTAATGAAACAAGAAGAGGCGCCATGAAATCTGGGGAAAAATCATGGCCCGCGCCATGATATCCACCCCCCCCCTTGTCATCACCCCCTTCTTTTCCGCCCCCGACGATCCTCGGTCGATCGAGGGCCGGCCGGGGCCGGGGCCGCGGGGCGTACTGCTCGAGGCGCAGCGCCCGCAGCAGCAGGTCGACGTCCTCCCCTTGGCCGCCTTCCCCTCCATCCTCCTCAACCCTCCTCCTCCTCCTCCATCCTCCTCCTCCTCCTCCTCCTCCTCCCTCGTCCTCCCTCCTCCTCCTCCTCCTCCTCCTCCTCCTCCTCCTCCTCCTCCTCCTCCTCCTCCTCCTCCATCCTCCTCCTCATCCTCCTCATCCTCCTCCTCCTCCATCCTCCTCAACCCTCCTCCTCCATCCTCCTCCTCCTCCCCCCTCCTCCATCTCCCTCCCTCCTCCTCCCTCGTCCTCCTCCTCCTCCTCTCCTCCTCCTCCTCCTCTCCTCCTCCTCCTCCTCCTCCTCCTCCTCCTCCTCCACTTCCTCCTCCGCCTCATCCTCCCTCGTACTCCTCCTCCTCCTTCCTCGTCCTACCTCCTCCTCCTCGGCCTAATCATCCTCATCCTCCCTCCGGGGCCCGGGTCCTTATCTCCCCTCGTACATTCCCGTTCTTCTCCATCCTGCTCCATCCTCCTTTTCATTCGTTCCCTCCTTATGCATAAGTCCTCCATGTCGCGCCACAAGAAGTGTCGCTCGGGCGAGCCAACCGTTTCGCCCGTGACGATCTCGAAGGCTGAGTTCTCCAAACTTGAAATTTCGAACAGCTACACGGATGGAGGGCGGGTGGTTTTCATAGTGTGGTTCTCTCTCTTTCTCTCTCTCTCTCTCTCTCTCTTTCTCTCTCTCTCTCTCTCTCTCGCTCTCTCTCTCTCTCTCTCTCTCTCTCTTCGGCGCTACGCACATTCGCTTTCAAAACAAACAGTTCCACGGATGAAGGCGGCTCGTTTTCACAATGTTGCAACATGAAATTATACAGCGGTAACACGGATGGATGGCGGCTCATGTCCCCAAAATGGGGCTCTCAACCTTGGTAAACTGCACGCCCGGAAAGTTCAAATCCCCCGGCAGCTGCGTCAACGGATGGAGGGCGACTCCTCTCAGAAGCGGGGCTGTCGCCTGGCACTTCCGGGAACCTTCTGACCCCGAGTTGTCGCGGCAACTGCGGCTCCCCCTCCGCCTCCTCCTCGTCCTCCTCCTCCTCCTCGTCGTCGTCCTCCTCCTCTTCCTCCTCAGCTGGGCATCGTTTGACTGATCCCTATCCCCACTGGCGCGGCCTGGGCCCCGGCCCCACTGGCCGATGTACCCCTCTCGATGTGGATGCAGGCTGTTCCCTTCGGGTTTCGGAGGGCCCATCCCCAACTGGGGTGGCGGGATGGTCGGGCCGAGATGCTTCGGCCCTGATGTATCCAACGAGACTCCTCATCCCCTTCTCCTGCCTCGTGGGGAAAAGTTATTTATAAGGAACAGGAGCGGGGAAGGACGATGAGGAGGAGGAGGAGGAGGAGGAGGAGGAGGAGGAGGAGGGGGAGGAAGAGGAAGAGGAGGAAGAGGAGGAGGAGGCGGAGGAGGCGGAGGAGGCGGAGGAGCCCTTCTCCCCCAGAAAGAGCTCCTCCCTCGTGCCGCCCGGGGGGCTGCCTCGCCAGTGCATGCTCCTGGGAACCCTCTGCAGCAGCTTCGAGCGTGGAGGGCGAGGGTGGCTCGGAGGGCGGGGTGGCTCTCGCCGAAGCGGCGCGCGCACACGGAGGAGGAGGAGGAGGAGGAGGAGGAGGAGGAGGAGGAGGAGGAGGAGGAGGAGGAGGAGGAGGAGGAGGAGGAGGTCTCCAACGTCCGCGGAAGCTGCGAGGACGGCGGGCAAGCTCTGTTTCAGCATGCGGGCTGTCGCCGAATAGCGCCGCGCAGTCCCGCCCCTCAGAGTCTGCAGCCGTCTTGAGAGGTTGCACGAGCGAAATCCAAGGAATTGTATGATGGCGCGTTCTGGTTGTCAGGACGCGAGAGTCAAGTGAGTTCAGAGTGTTGAAGTCACAGGAATGGTGTTATGGCACGACTTAGGATTGCCAGGACGCAGAAGTCATGTTGATCCGCGGCGTTTAAATCCCACGAGCGGGCATCTGGAACGGCTGAGGATTCTCAAACGGTTATTTTCGACTGGGCCACTTCCCGCCATGAAACTATCTGGTAGAGAGCCACGTGAAGGTTTATTGCAGCATCGTTGCGGCGACTTTAGATTACACCGGTTTGCATCCTCCTCCTCCTCACCATCACCGTCAGCATCACCATCACCACCAACATAACCATCATCATCATCAGCAGAATCAGCATCATCGTTATCAGCATCATCTTCATCAGCATCACCATCATCTTCATCATCATCCATCATCAGCATCATCATCAGTATCATCCTCTTCCTTCTCCGTCCCTAAAATCCGACATTGCAAACAAAATGCAACATCGCAAAACATCGCGACCAAAACTCCAGACCCCATCTCCCTGCGCCGTGCTTCGAATCAGATCGATCTGCGAGGGTCCCGGGGGGGAAACCTGGCGAAAACGCCAATTGTGGAAAAATACAATTGCCAGGATCTCAGGGGCCTTATGACGTTGCGCAATTGTAAGGTGGAAGCCTAGAACGTGCGAAAAAAAGGAACGCCGACATAGCGGTGCGAAAAATACATTAGACCTGGCTGGCGCAGCCGAACCGGACAGGGAACAAGATCACGAAAAGAAAAGGGCTCATCAGGGCGCAGAGTATGCGCCAGCCAGGCGATGTGTAGGGAGGAGAGGCCAAGCGAACGCTAACCTTAGTCAAGTCAGATCCGAGGACGATCCGAACGGAGATCTCTCAGGGGCCTCGACCTCCGCGGCCGTCGGCAGCCTTTCGGAGGCCATCGGGAGCCGTCGGCTGCAACGGCGTCGTCGTCGTTCCCCTCCTACAGATGTTCCTCGTCGTCTTCGTCATCGGGGGGCCAGAAGGAGGAGGAGAAGGGGGGGGAGGATAATGGAGGAGGAGGGAGGAGAACGGAGGATGGAGCATGGAAGAGAGGGAAGAACGAGAAAGAGGACGACCAGGCGGTTGGCCACTGAAGAGGAGGAAGATAAGCATGAGCAGGAGCAGCAGAAGCAAGAAGATGAACAGGAATTTGACAGGGAGGAAGATCAGGAATGCGAGCAGAGGGAAAGGAAACGCACATCGGGTAAGCAACAGGGATCTGAATCATACTACGAGCACGGATGCGAGCTGGGGATCATCATTGGAAGACGGCAAGAAACGTGGCTGGCAAAAGGGAACAGGAAGAGGAGCAGGACGATGAACAGCAGCAGAAACAGGAGCAAGACTGGAAGTGCAACTGGGAAGCAGAGAAGGAGCAGGAACGAACACCAACCGGGGTCCGCGGGTGCCGCTCGAGGAGACTCGCTGCAGCTCCCAGGTCCTAGGTGAAGGCACCTTGCACGAGCCTGCCGACGGCTCAACGACTCTATAGTTCACTCAAGGCAGTCAGCGAGGGAGGGAATGGTGATGCGAGCGCACCCAGCTTGTACTGCTAGCTCCTTTGCCTGGCTTGGCTCTCGTTAGGAATGGGAGGGAGGGGTAGGACCTCAGAATGACGCGAGCGGCGATCAGCATCATCACCCTCATCACCATGTCATCAGTCTCCTGCTCACCCCACTACATGCCTCCCTCGCATGGTGCATCCCCCGCACCGCACCTCCATCGCACGACTCGCAGCGAAGGGAGCAGTCACACCTGGCCGGCAGGGCGATGGCGGGTAGCGGCGCCGACCAACCACGACTGGGGAGGGCCGTGTTCCTTACCGCCCTGGGGGGACCCATCGTATCGAAGACCTATGTAGGCGGAAAAAAAAGAGCCGCATCCGCGGCCTCGCGGGCCAGGCCCCTGGGCCGCGACCCGGCGGATACGGAGCGCTCTGTTCGCGGATGCTACGCGCGGAACGTATCCGTGCGACCGCACATCCGCGGGAGTCGCGCCCAGACTTCAGACCGCGAGGGCGCGGCTACTGATATGTTTAGATCGGGCATGTCCTCCTGCAGGCGGATTTTGTCAGAAAAGTAAAGATCATACCGGAGAAAAACGCCAATCATATTTAATGTTGGGCTGTAGGGCTATAGGGCCATAGGGCTATGGGCCTAATTGAGCTATAGGGCTATTGGGCTATAGGGCTATATGGGCTATAGGGCTAGTGGGCTATTGGGCTATAGGGCTATAGGGCAATAGGACAACAGGGCTATAAGGCTATAGGGCTGTAGGGTTACATGGTTATAGGGCTATAGGGCTATTGGGCAATAGGGCTATATGGGCGATTTGGCTATTGTGATGTTGGCCTATAGGGCTATAGGGCTATAGGGCTATAGGGCTATTGGGCTATTGAGCTATGGGGCTATAAGGCTATAGGGCTATTGGGCTATAGGGCTATAGGGCTACGAGGCTATTGGGCTATAGGAATAGAAGGCACCCGGGCACCCCGGCACCCGGCCCGGCCACCGAAATCGGCCACGACACTCACCTGGGCACCCGAACACCCGGGCACCCGGGCACCCGGGCACCCGGGCCCCTGGGCACCCGGCCCGGCCACCGAAAGCGGCCGCGACACTCACCTAAGCATATGAATCCGCTGGGACCCCTACAGAGGCAAGCTCTGATTGGGGAAATAGTCATCAAAATGTCAAAAATAGTTAATAAATCGTCCCCATTCGGCGGTGGACAAACCTCCCTTTAGCAAACCCCCCCTTAGTGAAAACGGCTTGGAACCGAAACCGACGGACCTGGACCCGCAAAAATGACGGCCGCGACGCCCTCTCGCAAACCGAAAACGGCCAATTCCTTAATCGACGTGTCAGGGTAGGAGGTCTATCCACCTCCGACCCATACTATTTGTGACTGTGCTTGAATGTTCCTCCGGTAGAGGGCCATGCCCGACATATAGTGATGCCCGACGCTCGTGAGCGCTCTCTTGAGAGGGGTGTCGCGGCCGAGGGGTTCCCCCGGGGGGGGTGGCGGGCCCCAGCTCCCGCACGTGCGGCGAGCCTGCGGGGAGAGAAAAATGGAATAGAGGCCTCTTAGATTAGGGGAACCAGAAGTGACAGAAACATAAAAGCTCGGAGCTCCGCGCGGATTTCTCGGATCGGCGCCGGGGCCCCCCGGCGGCGCCTCCGGCGCCGCCCCTGGCGCGCTCCGCGCGCCAGGGAGGGGGCTCCAGCGCCGATCCGAGAAATCCGCACGGACCTCCGAGTTTGCATGTTTCTGTCACTTTTTGTTCCCCTATGGGGTCGGAGTCGATGGGTCGGCGATGCATCGGCGATGCACCAGCGATGCATCGCCGACGTCGGCGAAGAATCGGCGACGTCGACGTGAAGCAAATCGGGCTGCACATCGCGCCGCATCGGCGATGCATCGGCGATGCGGCGCGATCCTCCGACCCCATCTACTCCGATCCCATCTAGGAGGCCTACTAGAGGAAAAGCGGGTCCAGACTTATGTTGCTCCCATTTCAAGTAAGGACCACATCCCATACATAATTTTGAGCACCCAGACAAATATCGAAACATTGTCGAACGATTATCGCCTCCCAGGGCCCGACACGTGAAAACCCTCCAGATTGGGTATCTTCTTGATGCTCGGAATACTTTCTGGTGACCAAGGCTAAAATACGTTGGAACATCATAAGCCCGAACCTCTGGGAGCACGGCGAGCGCGATTGCGTTTCTGGAATCGGGACCTCCTGAGCTCCGCTTCCGGGCGCCGTGACCACGAAAGAACGACCCGCGACGAAAAGACGGTCCCAGGGATGGGGCCGAGACCTCGAAAGTGGCACACACTGAAGGTGCAAAGAGAAGACGACGTCGGAGGTCTGAGGTGACAAGGACGGGAGGAGAAGGAGGAAGAGAGCAAGAGCGCGGAGGAAACAGATCCCCAAGACAACAGTGCTGCGCAGCATTGCAAGACACGCTAATACGGACACTCCGCGGCAAGGACACACGTTTAGAAAGAGCGCCAAGTCTGGTGGCAGTTTCCTGCGATGCTCGTCTCGTGCACTCCTGGCTGCCTAACCCGAAGCATCACATTCCTCCTCCTCCTCCTCCTCCTCCTCCTCCTCCTCCTCCTCCTCCTCCACTGACGGAAACACCCAGTATATGCGATGGACCAGAAACCACCCCAATCGACGAATCGAGAAGCCACCGCTGTGGCGGCGCCGTCCAGTCGGGAGAAATGGCTCAGACAGGGCCTCAGGGGAGGGCGGCTGTGTATATATATATATATATACATATATACACATATATATATACATATATATATATATATGTATATATCACCACTGGGAGCCAGCGATTCTATACACCGCCGCCATCCCTGAAGGTATATGCAAAGTTCGTCGGAGGGCGTCTGTGTATATACTCGTGGCGTAAAGAAGCCTGATTGGAAACCTCCGTGAAGGGGTCAGCCCCTCCCAAGAGGCCCCTGCCTCCTCGGAAGGCCACCCCCTTCGCCCTGCCCCAGGCCCATGGTCGCTGCCGAGGGTGTGCCGCGCAACGTCAGTCGACCCGCAGCTCGGCACGATACCGCAGGGCACCACCTGGCCCCCCCCCCGAAACTGGCGGAGCGGCACGCCATCCAACAGTGACCGACCGCAGCTGAGCCGGACGGGCAGCACGAACCGAGCCTTCCCAGGCTCTGAGCCCTGGAGGGCCCGCGGGACCCTCCGGAGTCCCGCGGGCGCGGACCGCTGTGAGCTGGGGCACGCGCGCATGCACCTTGTGGAGGAGCCTGGGACTGTGATGCGTGCTGGGTCTGCGCTGGTCCTCCCTGCTCCCCCCCCTCCTGCCGCTCTTCCTCCTCCTTCCCTCCTCGTCCTCCCTGTCTCAGAGAAGCTCCCGATACCACCCCCAGCAACACGACGATGCCGCACAGGACCGAGGCAATGGAGAGCAAGGAGCGAGACACCTCCAGGATTACTGCAACATGCCAGTGCTCCACGATGCCACTACCCTTGTGTTGCTCCTCCTCATCCTCCTCCTCCTCCTCGTCCTCCTCCTTATCCCCCTCCTCCCCCTCCTCCTCCTCCTGCTCCACCTCCTCCTCCACCTCCTCTCCTCCTTATCCTTCCTTCCTCCTCCTCCTCCTCATCCTCCTCCTCCTCCTCCTCCTCCTCCTCCTCCTCCTCCTCCTCCTTCCTCCTCCTCCTCCTCCTCCTCCTCTCATCATCATCCTCTCCTCCTCCTCCTCCTCTCTCTCCTCCTCCTCCTCCTCCTGCTCCTCCCCTCCATCCTCTCCTCCTCCTCCTCCTCCTCCCCTCCTCCTCCCCTTCCTCCCTCCTCCTACTACTCTCCTCCTCCTGCTCCTCCTCCTCCTCCTCATCATCATCATCATCCTCCTCATCCTCCTCCATCTCCTCCTCTCCTCCTCCTCCTCCCTCCTCCTCCTCCTCCTCCCCTCCCCTCCTCCTCCCCTCCTCTCCTCCTTCCTCCTCCTCCTCCTCCTCCTCCTCCTCCTCCTCCTCCTCCTTCTCCTTCTCCTCCTCCCACTCGCTTCTCTGCTTACCCTACGCCTCCTGCCTCCCCCTCCTGCGGATCCTCCGCCGCCTCTTCTCCCTCCCCCTCCACCTCTTATTTCTTGATGAGCCGCCTCCTTCTCCCCCATCCCCTTCATTCCACCTCGTACTTTTCCTCATGCCAGTTATTGCTGCGTTGGCTTATCCTAGAGATCTTCGCGTTGTCGAGTGCGACAGGGAGCAATGATGATCAAACATACTACGGGCGCTGCAGAATACGCACGAGAAAACCACCACCACCACCACAGTCATCGTCATCGTCATCATCATCAGCATCATCATCACCACCACCACCGATATCATCACACCCATCAATCACACCACCACCACCACCACCACCATCATCATCATCATCATCAGCAGCATCATCATCATCATCATCATCATCATCATCATCATCATCATCATCATCATCATCATCATCATCATCATCATCATCATCATCATCATCATCATCATCAGCATCATCATCATCACCATCACCATCATCACCATCATCACCATCAGCATCCTCATCAGCATCATCAGCATCTGTATCATCATCCGCAGCATCATCAGCATCATCACCAGCAGCAATATCATCATCAGCATCATCACCACCACCCATGCATCAATGCATCCATCCATCCATCCGTACACCCATCCATCCATTCGGTCCATCCATCTATCCATCCCTCCCCCCCTCCATCCTCCTCCTCCTTCCCTATCCTCCCTCCTCCTCCTCCTCCTCCTCCTCCTCCTCCTCTCCTCCTCCTCCTCCTCCTCCTCCTCCTCCTCCTCTTCCTCCTCCTCCTCCTACTCCTCCTCCTCCTCCTCCTCCCCCTCCCCCTCCTCCTCCGCCTCCTCCTCCTCCTTCTCCTTCCCCTTCCTCATTCCCCCTCCTCATTCCCCCTCCTCCCCCTTCCCTACCACCTCCCTCCCTCCTTCCTCCCTCCTCCTCCCTTCCCTGCCCGATCCGCAAAGCCAAGACGGCCGCAGCGGCGGCGGCAGGCGGTGCCTGTCTCCGCCGCCCGCCGCGACCGGCGGCGGGGTCCGGCGGCGGCCAGGCGGCCGGCGGGGCGGCCCGCACCAGCGGCGCAAGGCCCATCGGCCGAGGGCAAGAGAGAGAGAGAGGCCCGCGCGGCGCGGCGCCCCCTCTCGAGCCCAAGGTGTCCCGAGCAGCCCTGCGCGAGGTCGGCAGGTGCAGGGGAGCTGCGGCCGCCGCTTATGTAGAGGCCGACGTGTGTGCTCTTCGACGCGGGGCGCTCTCTCTCTCTCTCTCTCTCTCTCTCTCTCTTTCTCTCTCGTTCTCTCTCGATCCGAAAGGTGTCCCGAGCAGTCCTTCGCCAGCGCTGCAAGCGTAGGGGAACTGCGGCCACACCCGTCGTTGCGAGCTGCGCGAATGGATGAGATGCGTTTCACGAGGGAACATACGCGCCACATTTAACACGTCTGCTACACGAGGTGGCGTCTCGATGGGTGGTCGCCACAACATTTCTAAATTCTACAAATAATGTCCAGGGGCAGTCGCGTGATCCCAACCACACTGGTGATCTTGGTCAGCTTGCTACTTATGTCGGCAAATTGGGTTGTTCTGTGTGCTGGGTCGTTGCAAATACTAACAACGCTGCAACGAGGGAGCCTATTTGATGCCGCACCAAATTCCCTCTAATAGTGTGCCCCTGATAGAATGTTCACCCATGGTTGTGGCATGGCACCTTGTCAAAGCCGTGTTCATCGATTTCTTGCAAGAAGAAGGCGCGCTAAAAGTCATAACGCTTTGACGGCACGTCCACATATGTAAAAACAGTTCGATCGCCATCGGAAGCAGCGAGCTGACGGTCAGGGGACGCAGACGGTCAGGGGGATGGGGAAGAGAGGAGAGGGAGCGGGAGGCGAGGGGTTCGGAGTGGACTGGACAGGGAGAGGGCGAGGGCAAAATGATGGGTCGCAGAGGAAGGCGGAGGTGAAGGGGAAGGGAGAGCAGATCGCGAAGGGGAGGGCTTTCTTCTCCTCCGCGCACACGCACACACACACACACCAAACGCGACGCAGCAAACGCACGACGCGGGCATACCCATCGCGGCTTCGGCAGTGCCGACCCCGTAGGAGAAAGAGAGAGGGAGATGAACAGTGCAAGATGACAACTGAAAGATGCCGGGGGGGGGGCCGCACACAGCAAAACCCTTGTCAATGATTAGTATATTCGGTTATGGCTGTTCTCGTGGGCGTCGTCGTCGCTGAAATTATTTGGTCGCCATCATCCCACCAACGGAAACAATCGTTCAAACGTTACCCCCGTGCGCCTGTCGCCTGAACATCGCCAACCCACATCTCACGCAAGCACATAAGATAAAACATCGTCATGGAAAAAATGGGCCGGGAGGGAGATGGGGAGCGCGAGACCATCGAAACTCACTACAGCGTGACTAGCACAGTAACGTGGGGCAGAAGATCGCCAGGCACACTCGGATCGCTACCAGCCAGAAGGCAAACTCATTCGATAAACTGTAGCCTGGGGGGGAACGAACGAACGAAAACTCTGACGCCAAGGCGCGTGGACACATCACTACATGCAATGGCCGCAGACAGCGCGCTGCCAAGCCACCCGGTCCCTCGGATCTGCTGGTACAAGAGCAGCACAGCGTTGTGCCTGGCCAATACATTCGTCCTTTGGTTGGGCAACGAAAGCCAAGCGCAGCCGGGACAAAACGATCGACCGAATCGCCATGGAAAAAATCTATAGGGGGCAGTTCCTTCGTCGACCGCGGGGGGTCATGCAGCAGGATGCCCCAGGGCTCGGCGGCACCCCCCTCGGAGAGAAGACGCTGTCGTGGGGCACCCGCTGGCAGGCCGAGTTCTTCCCTTGTTCGCCCGTCTGCGAGAACGGCGCGCGTGCACCGTACCAGTTTTGTCGGGACCCACCCAAAAGGCAGGGGGGACCCTGAGGGGGGGCATGAGCTCGATCCGCTGGTGCGCCGAGCTGCCGCAAACCGATGCATCCCGCCTGTCCCACCCAGCGGCAGGTATCGGGAACTTCCGGCGGCCGGGGGGGCATCTGCTTGGGGTGCTCCGGTGCAGAAGCCGATCGAACTCTCTCTCTCTCTCTCTCTCTCTCTCTCTCTCTATCTCACACACACACGGAGGGCACACACCCCTTTTGCGGGATCCCGAGTTAGGACTCTCTTGAGACCGCGCAATCGGGCGGGTACGGTGCGTAAATTCTCGGCTGCGAGGGCCCCAGAGGCGCCAACGCGGCACGGCGCGCACAGGTTGTCCTTCCCAAGAGGGGTCGGAGCAGATGAGGTCGGAGGATCGGCGATGCATCGTCGATGCATCACCGACGCATCGTCGGTCCTCGTCATCGGAGGTCGGGGGAGGCGCCGCATCGTCAATGCATCACCGACGCATCGGCGATGCGTCGGCGACGTCAGCGTGGAGAAAGAAGATCGGGCTCCACATCGAGCCACATCGCAGATGCATCATCGATGCGGAGTGATCCTCCGACCCCATCTGCCCGGACCCCATCTGGGTGGCCTGGAGCCCCCACCCCCGACCTCCTGACTTGTTGATGACGTCGACCCCCAAAAGCCCCGACCCATTCCCCGGGACCGGCTTTCATCCTGAGCCGTTGTTTGACGGTCCCGAGGGCCGGGAAGGGCCCCTGGAGGCCGAAAATAACAAAAAAAAAAAAAAACAAAAAAAAAACTTGGCGTCGCGCTCTTGTCATAGCTCGAGGGGTCTGGGAAAGGCGGAGCCCGGACCGGGGCAAGACCGGACTTCTAGAGGCTTCCTAGATGGGGTCGGAGTAGATGGGGTCGGAGGATCGCGCCGCATCGCTGATACATCGGCGATACATCGTTGATGCATCGGCGATGCATCGGAGATGCACCGGCGATGCATCGTCGACGTGGGCGATGCATCGGCGACGTCGACGTGACGCAAATCGGGCTGCACATCGAGCGGCATCGGCGATGCATCGGCGATGCGTCGCGATCCTCCGACCCCATCTACTCCGACCCCATCTCGGAGGCCTAGAACTTCGAGATGCCTCGGGGACCTCCCGGGAGGGTGCGGGGCAGGAGGGCGCGACGACGACATGGGGCGAGGGGCGCAGCGCGCACGGGCAGGGCGCGCGGAGGGGGGGGGGTGTCACCGCGCGCCCGCCGCGGGGGGGTCGGCCAGCGCGCCGTCCTCGCCGGGCGGCGCCGCGCCGCCCAGCGCCTCGCGCACGTGCTGGGCGAAGCGGTAGACGTCCAGGAAGGAGGTGTAGAGGCAGAGGAGGAGAAAAACGGCAGACCCTGAGATCCGACGTTGCAAAAAAAAATTGCAACATCGCAAGGAATCACGACCGGGCCCCTGGACCCCATCGCTCTGCGTCATTTTCCGAGCCGGATCGATTCGTGAGGGTCCCCGGGCCCGACATTGAGCGAAAACGCCCGGCTCGAAAAAGTTGACTCGCCAGGACCTCGGGGAGACAGAAACCTTCGACGCCGCGCGCGGACTTCCTGGACCTCTGCGCTGGACCGCCCCCTCCCCCCTGGCGCGCAAAGCGCGCCAGGGCGGCGCCCAGGGCGCCTGCCGGGGGGCCCAACGCCGACCCAACAGATCCGCGCGGAGCTCCGAGAGGTCATGTTTAAGTCGGGCCTGTCCCGCTACAGGAGGAATATTCAAAAATCCGCCGAGCTGGCGTATGAACTACAAGGAGCCTCAGCAAGAGCCTAAGCAAGAGCTTCAGCTTTGCTTGGGGGGGGTCGCCGGGGCGGCTCTGCTGGGAAGGAAGGGAGGGGGGGCGGGGGGGGCGATCCCCCATCTGGCGTTTTCTAAATGATTTGAGCATCCGGACCCCCCGGAGAAGGGGAGATGGGGGGGAGGGGGGGGGCGGTCCCGCATCTGGCGTTTTCTAAATGATTTGCGCATCCCAAAGATGTTTCGGGGGGTCCCAGGGACCCCCCTCAGATCTAGCCGCTACCGCCCGCAGGACCCTCCCCTCGGAACCCTCCCCAGACCCCCCCCAGGGACCGCTCTGGACACCCCCCCAAAGGAGAAGAAAGAGGACTGGAAGAATCGAGGAGGGCGGAGGCCACAGAGCCGCGAAGATCACCGAATCCGGACCCCCCAGATCGGCGGCACTGGCCGGAGGCCATTACAATAGTCAAAAAAAAAATATGGGGACGATGTCTCTAGTCTTTTTGGAGGATATTTAATGTTCGTCCAGGCTATGTTGCTCCCATCGTACTGAAAGACCACATCCCAGAAATAATTTCGAGCAACCAGAAAAGTGTCGAAACAGTGTCGAAGCAGTGTCAAAACAGTGTCGGGCGAGTGTCTCCCAGGGCCCGACACGTGGAAACCATTAAGTTTCAGTACATTCTTGGTGCCCGAGCTTCTTTCTGGTGCTCAAGGCTGAAGTAGGTTGGAACATCATGACTGTGGGGGGACATGCCCGACCTAAGATCGTGTGTGCCGTGTTCCTCTTCTTCGGAAAGGGGGTCGGGGGGCGCCCGCGGGCCGCACATACCCGGGTCCTGGCCCGGCTGTCCACCACCACCACCGCCAGAAGTTGGAGGGGGAGGGGGTCCTCCTCTTCCTCCTCCTCCTCCTCCTCCTCCTCCTCCTCCTCCTCCTCCTCCTCCTCCTCCTCCCTCTCCTCCTCCTGCTCCTCCTCCTGCCTCCTCCTCCTCCTCCGCCTCCTCCTCCTCCTCCTCCGCCTCCTCCTCCTCCTCCTCCTCCTCCTTCCCCCCTATCCAAATTATGGCGGTGGTGGAAAACAGGCCCATCAACAGCAGGCCAGGGGTCGGTGCGCAGCGGGTGCGCGCGTTGAGACAGGGCTCGAGCCGACCAGTGTCGTCCGTGTTCGTGTTGTGCTCGTGTCCCCTCGGTCAGTCTGCGCTCGGTGCTGCAGAAGGAAGTCAGAACGAAAGCGGCGCACGAAATCCCTCAGAAGACAGTTTAGCCCATGCCCTGCGCTGAGAAGCCTGGCTGCACGAAATCGGGGTCGGCACGTTGTTCAGTCGAGTTCGGGCATCGCGGGGACGCCACAAACTCCAGTGGGCGTCCGGGCGTCCAGGGTCGTCAGGGAAGAAAAACCTCCGTGGGGTTCCTGCTGGCAGGCAGGCGTCTTATCTGGCACACCCTTGGAGCAGACTGGCGGCGCGCAGAG